TACATTCTGGCCCTTATAGATTTCATTTAGTCATCGTTTGATAGTGTGGGGTTGGCGTTAGAACAGTCATACCAATGAGGTGTTATCTCTGGTGACTACGATGCAAATTAATATACTAAAACGGGTTGTCTCTTTCTGTTGTCTCCCTTTCTCAGATAACAGTGAGGAACACTACCAAGCAAGTAGGTACATCCGTTGCAACGACAAACTGGGCAGTAAACGTTGTTGCCAACGTTATTATTTGACGAAATATTGCTGTTGACGATGCATGAGACTAAGGTTACTTTGTTCCATCCGGTTATCGTTCCATTTTTTTCGAAGTAATGGCTACGCGGTGGATGACTGAAATTATTCTGACCCACCTTTGATAGAGTATGGGATTGGGCAACCGTATTCTCTGTTTTAGTCGTTGTCATACAACGACCTTTGACCGAACACGCAATTATATGACTGTGCTTGTGAACCTTAGACGACGAATCACCTTAGAAAAGCAGCTTTCAGGCGACGCGCATTTCAGGTGTAGCGGAATTGCTGTGCACTTTTAGTCCTTTGGCTCACAGTTTGAACTTTTGCTTCGAACGCTCCTCCTTCCAAGTAGTATACCTTAGCTTAGCTTTTAAATCGTTTACAATTAATTTTCTTGTTTTCAAATTTTGCAGAAATAATTTAATCTGAGATTTACTCTTTCTGTTAATCAAGCAAGTCAAGGGTATCCTGTACTGCGGAAAGTTTTAATTGGGCATTGAGGCTTCTTCGCTCATAGTGCTTCGACTCTCAAATGCAGTAGGTGCTACAACAATCATGCGTCGAAACGTCTTCCGATAAACTGAGCTCCATCTATTCTTATGCGAACGTTATCGGAAATAGCATATATTCAATTTGCAAATAATGGTCATTGTACTTCTTGTTCTGAGTTTTACTACTTAGTGATTACTTGTTCATTTAGATTAACGTCCCGATCGTGTTTCGGGGTCCAAACGGTGCGGCCGCAGGCGTTGCTGCTCAGCACAGTCAAGATTACTCATCGTGGTACAGCCATTGCCCAGGGCTGAAAGTGGTCGCCCCGTTTTCGTCAGAAGATGCCAAAGGACTGCTAAAAACTGCCATTCGAGACGATAATCCGGGTCGGTTTCTTTCTAATGACTCATGCTCTTTTTTGTGTTCTAAAGTGCCTTGCTTCAGTGGTCTGTCTGGAAAATGAACTTTTGTACGGGACCACGTTCCCTATGTCTGACGAGGCAATGAGCGAAAACTTTCTCATTCCTTTTGGTGTCGCCAAGATCGAGCGCGAGGGCAAGGACATCACGCTTGTCTCCTTCAGCAAGGCGGTTCAGATTTGTCTCGATGCTGCACTGGAACTCGAAAAACTTGGCGTATCCGCGGAAGTATAACATTATTTTTAGATATGCACATGTTGCTATTTCTTGACATTATATTTGCAGGTCATCAATTTGAGGTCACTTCGACCGATGGATTTTGATTGCATTAAGAAGAGTATCATGAAGACCCACCACTTGGTGACCGTCGAAAACGGATGGCATATGTGTGGCATCGGTGCAGAAATCGCCGCGTGCACAATGGAGTCCGAAGCGTTCGACTACCTTGACAGCCCTGTGCTTC